TCATTTCACTTATGAAAGACACAATACGCTAAAATCGTTTTTGTACCTAAGAAACTTCTGTGACCGCTGTATAGTTGAACAAACTGATTCCGCTGAAGGAGCATCGAATTTAGACAGCTGACATTTACGTTTTTCAATGGATTGATCGATGTGGAAACCACTTCGATGATGAGCTAATAACGCATTAAGCATATTGAAAGGTGCAGTAAACAAGAAGTGCCCTTTTCGTGAAAGATATATGGAAGTCAAATTTAAACAGTGTTCGGGTTTATATTTAGTCGCGGATTGGTGATTACACTAATCCATTAGCAATGCCCTCTCGTGATCTACGCCGGGAAGTTTTGCAAACACCATATTTTATTCACGACACCGAGTTGACTTACAAGGTGCAGGAAATTTAAATAATGAAGAGAAACGGAAAATGAAATAAATAATAAATTTCCCATCCCATTCCCAATTTGGTGTTTTTAATATTTATCGAATTCGCTTTTAGGGCAATTCCTCTTTCGGATCTTTTATACATTGAATTATTTTTAATATACATAATCTGTGATTCTAGGTTACAGTTTTCATAAACTGATTTTTCTAAATTAAATGTTTTTAAATATCCTGATAAAAGTTACAATTTGGCAACACTGTACCATTTCACATTATGACGTCATTGCAAATTTATTTTAAATCGACTATAAGTTATCGTGCTTAAAGCAATTAAAAACCTCACTGTTTTACTATGTTGCCGAGTTGGCAGTACCAACAACGACCTTGTGGCTAATCAACTTCTCTTTTGCACGTGTGAGGTTAGATGAATTAATATGTTCGTTGCATAAATAACTATTTACTACACTTTTAGTTACCAGTCGGATTTTATCTTCGCGTTGTCCGGTACATGGGAAATAATAGAGCTAATCTAACATTTTCTGTAAAAAAAACATTTTCTTACACAAAGGCGCACTCGGTTGTTGCCGATCATTTATAACTGTCTCTTCGTACCCTTAAAGACATTATTAATTAATTAATCTCCCTTTTTGCAGGAATGTCCCGAATCTAGCAATATAAAACGGTTTTTGCGCGACTGAATTAGCTGATGAGAATTTTTTCCTCGATCTTATGAATGGAGATTGGTTAAACAGCCGATGCACAAAGCAGGCCATGAAAGATCAAGGACGTCGAATTAGCATTTTCGATAACGTTTTTCTCGGTATTTTCCGATAAATTTGTTTTATTTAAAGGGGACTTTACTTTTTCCGGGGTATTTTTAGGTTAAGATTATCAAAACTGTCGTATTATTTTTATACACGATTGCAGCAGTTTATTTATTTTACTTTATTTTACATTAAGGTCCTTTTAATTTAAATAAACACATTCCCATCAACTAATTCAGAGGAGTAAATATAAGTAGTCCATTAACACGCATTTAAATTGAATTATTGCACTATTTAAACTATTGAATTATTTTGAACACAAATTGTTGACTCATTGAATTTAATGTAATGTTCAAACAAACAATTAAGCTTTTTTATTACCGTGATGTTACAAACAGAATATTAATATGCTTTGATATTATTACAGTTAGTAAATTTGTTGGTAAACACTTCGTAGCGTGGTCTTAAAGCGATTTAACTACTTACGTAGTGCGGTGTACTTTATAAGAAAAACAAAGTTTCTGTGCTATATGCGAGTATTCTGCGCAAACCAGCGAGCATAAAATGAATTGGAAGATGGAGTTGTAGGGGAAAACTGAAATGTATTATTCCATTAAATTGTAGCCTTTTCTTTATTTGCCTTTAATTAGCTGTCTCAAAATCGATAATACAATCTAAGCCCAACGACCAACATATCAGGCAGTGCAGAGAGCAAATGTTTATTCGGCGAAGATAATCTGCTACTGGAATAATTTTTGTTCAAACAACGTATGTACAGGATGTTTGTTGTCCTTTTCTCCTAAATTATAATATCTGTAGAAGTAAATGTCACTTTAGTTCAATGGTATACACGTTATAGTACTACTCGAGTACTTCTGAGGCAGCAATCACAAGAAACTAAAAGGCACTTTAGTTCTAAGATATTTACACTACACTGATTTTTGCATTTCCTGGCTTGGAATAACTAAAACTAAAGTGCGTCTTTTAATTCCGAGGGTGCTGTTTACTACACTTTCGTTCTAAGGTATATATCTATCCTATCACTACAGTCCTGTGGTATGCATGTCATTGTTTGAGTCAACTATATGCGAGGCACTTTATTTCTGAGATATATACACTAATTCCATGAAATAACTACTGGCACATTGTATACTAAAGAACTAAAGTGTCTTAATTTTGAGGGTGATGTTTGTTACACTTTAGTTCTGAAATCTAACTTATTTTTTAACAATCACCCGGTAGCTAAAATGCACTTTAGTTTTGTGATTCAACTCTGCCCTATTTTTAACAATCGCCCGGGAGCTAAAATGCATTTTAGTTTTGTGATATATATATATATATGTTAGTTCAACTCGACTGTGCCTGAGGCAACAATCATTCACGAAATTGAAATGCACTTTAGCATTTAGTTCGAGTCAACTATATCTAAGTATATCTTAGTATTTAGTTCTGAGATACATACACTAATTCCGTGAAATAACTACTGGCATATTGTATACCAAGGAACTAAAGTGTATCTTTATTACACCTTAGCTCTGACACTCTCTTTTTATAACTATCGTCCGAGAGAAAAGGTCACTTTAGTCCTGTGGCTTTAGTTCTGAGATATTTACACCATTTTTGGCACTCCGTTATCTGAAATGGTACATTGTATACCAAGGAACTAAAGTGTCTTAATTTTGAGGGTGCTGTTTGTTACACTTTAGTTCTGAGATCTACCCAATTTTTTAACAATCGCCCGGGAGCTAAATTGTACTTTAGTTTTGTGATATATATTATAATTCAACTCGACTATGCTAGAGGCAACAATCATTCAAGAAATTGAAATGCACTTTAGTATTTAGTTCGAGTCAACTATATCTGAGGCACTTTAGTTCTGAGATACACACACTAATTCCGTAAAATAATTACTGGCACATTGTATACCGAGGGACCAAAGTGTATCTTAAATTACACTTTAGCTCTGACACTCTCTTTTTGTAACTATCGTCCGAGAGAAAAAGCCACTTTAGTTCTGAGATATTTACACCAGTTTTGACACTCTGTTACCTGAAATTGTACATTGTGTACCAAGAAACTAAAGTGTATATTTATTTTCGAGGGAGCTGTTTGTTATACTTTAGTTCTGAGATCTGCCCTATTTTTAGCAACCGCGAGAGCTAAAATGTACTTTAGTTCCTGAGGCAACAATCATTCAAGAAATTGAAATGCACCTTAGTATTTAGTTCGAGTCAACTATATCTGAAACACTTTCGTTCTAAGATACATACACAAATTCCGTGAAATAACTACTGGCACATTGTATACCAAGGAACGAAAATGTATCTTTACTACACTTTAGCTTTGACACTATCTTTTTGTAATTATCATCCGAGAGAAGAAGCCACATTAGTTCTTTGGTTTTTGTTCTGAGATATTTACACCAGTTTTGGCCCTCCGTTACCTGAAATGGTACATTGTATAGCAAGGAACTAAAGTGTATCTTTTAATTTCCAGGGCGCTGTTTGTTACACTTTAGTTCTGAGATTTACCCTATTTTTTAACAATCGCTCGGGAGCTAAAATGCACTTTAGTTTGGTGATTTATATGTTAATTCAACTCGACTATGCCTGAGGCAACAATCATTCAAGAAATTGAAATGCACTTCAGTATTTTCACTAATTTTAACACTTCGTGACCTAAAATAACTAATGGTACATTGCATGTCAAGGACTAATATGAATATTTTAGTCTTAAGCACTTTAGTTTTGATCTATCCCATTTCTTGTAACAATAGATCTAAGGAATAAAAGGCACTTTAGTCTTTTAGCATATTACAGGTATAGTTCACGATCACTCACTTTAGTTTTGAGATAGTTACACTACACTAGTTTCTGGACTTTGAAACTTGAAATAACTAGTAGTCAATTGTATACCAAGGAACAAAAATAAATAAATAAGAAACGACATTATTGCCATTTCTTTTTATACTTCTGATGTTAGCAAAGCTAGCAATAGTACCAACACAATTTGAGGCATCCTGTATATGCAGCGCAATGTCACAAAGTGATGTTTCGCTGTTGCAACTAAACTCAGAAACTGTAATTCTGTAATGCAGCATTCGTGACATTTGTAAATTAGATATATTCTCCGTAGTATTCATCTCATCAGGAACTATTCTTCTTAAATAAATAATTCAGGAGTTTTCTTGAATAATAAACAATGTTCTGCAGTATTTCCTGTAGAGGATAAGGCATATTCGTTGCTCATATGGGATTTCCCTTACTTTCCGAAGAGATCGACGCTGTCACGATCTTGGTATCTTTAACTACACACAGCACTCCGTTATTTTTTTTACGTAATTCGCGGAAGACTTGATGGATTATCTTACGAAACAATTGAATAAAAGAGAAGATAATAGTTTAACTTGCAAAACATTAACATTAAACAATGTTGCTTAGTGGGAAATAACACGCTGTTATAAAATTTAACATATTGTTTTTTTATAGCGGATGTTAGGTATCTCGAATTAATTTAGTTTACCGACTTACTGGTGCAGTAATCTATATATCAAGTTGACTGGTTACAGATAGTGTGGTGTAAATTAATATTTGTCTGCATAAATCAGCAATTTGAATGATAATTCATATAGTTTCACGTTGTAGATTGCAGTTTAGACAAGTTGCAGCCATCCTGCTATGCGCAGCGTATTTTGGTATTTATTTTACCGATACTTACGAAGCTACATTCTAGCTATTAAATACTTTTTTTTGTGTACACAATAGAGGGGTTTGCGACAATCTACTTGTAGTGATTTAAGCATATCATTTTCTTCGTATGAAACCATAAGAATAACAAGGGTAGAGATATTTAAAGTACGATGTTGTTCTCGGACTAGATTCTGTAAGGGAGGGCCCGCTATTAGAACTCCTAGGTCCACCTTGATGTTCATTTTAGTTTTTATTGGGTGTTTCCGCGACTGAGGCATTTGTACAGTCGAAGATGCCGACTGTGAAGAACGGCAAAACGTTTGGAAGCGCCGAAATGAAGGTCAAGGCGAGAGGTTCTAACAGCGGGTGCGCCCCCACAAAGCCTAACGCGAGTGCAATAACGTAGTCCGGCAATTGGTAAAATCTATCTGAATAACTTCAGGGTCTATTTTGATTGAAATACATTTAAGACATCAGTATGTGTCGTGTCGTGACTTGTTAACACCTGTCGATTCCACAGTTGTTAATAACGGTCTTAGTCTTTATTATACGTAAATATAATCATTGTGTTGTATGGCATAACATGGCGTTAGAGCAATGTATATCTACCTTTATTGAACCGTTATAAAACTAGACACTTCCAGAGAAACGCACCGAATGTAGCAAAGTCGTCTTGTTTTAAGATGCTGAGACGGTAAACACGCCGTAATTGTTTTCCTTCCATTTCCAAAGTGAAAAAGAATTTTACGATAAACAAGACTGAAATTAATTGTTCATATTTGCCAGAACGTAACTGTAAAAAAAGACAAACAGTTTATTTTTGCAAAATCTTATTAAAAGTTATTTTTACCGTCAATAAAATCGGTAAGCATTTCTTTATACTGCAAATATCTTTGTGGAAGTTTAAAGAAACGAATGTTTGCATTAATTTGGCAGTAAAAGAGCCGTAATGTCTCTTTTGAAATAGATTTTTTCTTAAGAAAAAGCCCATTATCAACTGTTTTCCTTAAACTTTCTGCCGCCGATGTCGTAGCGCCGACAAAGACGGTTTGAATTTATTTTTTGCGTTTTATCCCTCAGATTGACAAAAGCAGATGACAAAAAAATCGCGTTTTATTATCAAACAATGGGTTGTAAAGTACAAAGGGATAATTGTCTGCTGCCGAAAAACAGCTCGAACCAATTATCGCCTCAGGGTACGTCTACGATCAGGCAGTAAGTACGAACTGACATGTACCATATATTAATTATTATTCACAAAGCATTTTATGCCCTTTGTTTGGTCGCGAATGAACAACTCATCCTTTCGTGCTCGTTATAGAATAAACGTTTTTATTCCTCAGATACGCCTCTACGATACAAAATCGTATTCACAACAAAATACATCATGTATTAATTTACGCGAAACACACAGACCACAATTTACGTTAAAATAATAAAGGCAGAAATTTGTTATACAGTGTCTTCCAAATTAGACGGGAAAACTGTAACGATTTACATGACCAACTGAAGCTCAAGCGAACTTAAATCGTTAGTTATTATCTGATTAGGTTGTTGCATTGCATTTTCTTCGAAATAATAATGCAGTTGTGTGTCATCAGCGTAAAGGTGTGATTTGTAATGAGACGAAAGTTATTCAAACTGAGAGGTATGAATCGTGAGAGTTGAGAGACCTAAAACCGACCCTTGTGGCACTCTGTTATTCAAATAACAATAATGTGCGAAAGTTCTTCAGGAATATCGGCAAATTTATTTTGGAGGACGAATCCCGTCAACGAACAATGTAAAAATATTATTAGAAACTTTAGGTGGCTAGAAAACCGTCCCGATCTCAGTCCTTTAGACAGATTTTTGCATGGACACAACAAAATATATTAAAGACCTCAAAATTTACAAGTATTGAAAGAAAAAATACAGGACGAAATGTTTGATAATTAATTTTGAATTTGTTTTTCAAGCAATAAATAGTAAATAAAATCATATTTTCAATACAATTACTTGTATGTTAAAAATTTGCAAAAATTGGTAGGTATTTTAATGTTATTTCGTTTTTAGGTATTCTCCTTATGTTGTTGTAACGGTTAGTTATAAAAATCATTGTTTGTTATTTCAATACGGATGTATTTTATTTTTTTTAATGATTTTTTTACTTTGAACATATATGACATAACAGCAAATTTTGATAATGTCAAAAGAAATAAAGGAAAAGTCGTACGTTTGTATTTAAAGTTTTTTTCTATCTTTAATTATTAAACCTTTAAGGGTATGTCAAAATACAAACAAAAACCCTGTACCTATAATCCGTGATATACTAAATAATCCACCTTGTATATTAAATAAATTTATCATCAATTCTCATTTCTGCAGTATTTCAATACCAAAAAATGAATATAGTAGCTAATTAACGAAATTATGATTAAATAACCTAACTGTGACACCGCTGCAGAATAACATATGAAACTACATAGGTATTCGTTGATTCTTTAAAACATTTTTATCAATATCTATATCATACATTTAAGTAAATACAGTAACGCAAAGAACATTGATGAAAAAGTGTACAAAATAAATCCGTAAATACGCGTGACAACATTGTCAAACTCTTGTTTATATGTTGCTAGGATACGCGTAGGAATGCGGGCCGCTGCATTTGACTCTTCCTAAAATTCTGCTGGAGGTGTACTCTATTAGAGTATATCTGTTTTTAGGTGTATGTCAGAGGGGGCAAGCAAGTTTTTTCTGGATTACCTTCAGTACAACTCACATAATAAAAGTGTATATCCCTAGATCTGGGCGAGGTGCGGAACATTTTCAAAATTGCAAAAATGTTTAAAAAATTTTTAAAAATACCTATTTTATCTGAATTTTTTACTTATATCTTGGAACCTATGCATTTTGGAAGAATATTGAAGAGGGAAAAAAGTTTTAGAATTGAATTTTGCACAATATACTGCAAGTTAAAAATGTTTAAATTTATTACCGATGTTGCAAAATAGCAATAATTGATTTTAATTTGTTTAAACAAAAATTATTTAAATAATAATTACAACTAAATACATTCATATTCAGATTGTTGAAATATATATGTAAACAAATTTTCATTGAAAAATATACAGTATATTTAATGCATAAATAATAAACTTTGTTTATAACAAAATATGTGCAAATTAGACAGTTTGCATTACGATATTCGAATTCCTTGGCTCGCGAGACATCGGATAAAAAAAAAGATCGGAATTGGTCCATTAGAAGCTGAGATAATGCAATTTTTTTCGTACTTTCGCATTTTGAACCTCCGAATTCAGTCTCGGAGCGAAAGCCCCCTCCCCCACTTTTCGTGTTTTGAGTTACTTTTCGCGCGTGTGAGCGACAGCTTTTCCGCTGATTTATCTATGTTGCCGATAACTTATGGATATGAAATTTTTTTCCAGCTTAGAACTCGGAAAAACGAAGCCACTGGATCAAAGATTATTGCTAAATTGTTTATAAATTAACGGTAAATGCCGATAAACTTTGACCGCTTATATCTCGAGAACCAATAAACGGAATTTAACTTTTTTTTTAAAGAAGCGTCTTTCCGAGTACTTTAAAATTATAATTTTTGAAAAAAACTAAATTGCAAATTGATAAATGTAATCTAATTGTTTAAAAATAAAAAAAAGGGTGTTAACTTTAAAAATTTACTGTGGCCGTCCTAATCAACCGATTTCAATTTTTCAAAAACCATTTGAAAGGTTGAGCGGTCTTTTCTATGTGAAAAAATTTTCAAGTATCTAGATGCTTTATTTGAGGCTGTGCAACATTTTGAAAATTCGAAAATTTTTTTTCAAAATTTTTTTCAAAAAATTATTTTGCGAAAACTATCGAACCGATTTTAATGAAATTTGGTGTGTTGTTTTATTATACTCTAAAGTTTTTTTTACCAAAATTAGAATGCCCTCGGAGCAATTAAAATATTTTTAAAAAATTATCCAAAAAACTTGATTATTTTGCCTTTTTTTCATCAATTATTGCTATTTTGCAACATCGGTAATAAATTTAAACATTTTTAACTTACAGTATATTGTGCAAAATTCAATTCTAAAACTTTTTTCCTCTTCAATATTCTTCCAAAATGCATAGGTTCCAAGATATAAGTAAAAAACTCGGATAAATAGGTATTTTTAACATTTTTGCAATTTTGAAAATGTTCCGGACCTCGCCCAGTTCTAGGGATCTACACTTTTATTATGCGAGTTGTACTGAAGGTATTCCAGCAAAAATTAGCTTGCCCCCTCTTACATCCAAGAAGTGGGATATTTCGACAGATCCGTCCTGGTCTATGTTGGCAATTTGGAAATTTAAAACTGCTGTCATATTCCAGTAACGGTCTGGAGCGAAGCTATATTGTCTGTGGTTAAATAAACGGATAGTTAGATTGTTTCCTATACTCACTTACGTATCTGTAACGTACAATATAGGTTATGGTAATCTATTCGTCCGATCAGTTAACCAATTACTTTACTCGAGACCTAAAATATTGTCTCTAAAACAGATCTGTGTAGAAACCACTATGGCAGCTTAGTAGTTTATGACTTTAATGCCGCCCCCTTGGAAATTTTCATAGTATTACTTAATAATGCTTAAATTTAAATCATATTAGAGAAAAGGTCAACTCTTAATTGGTTTTACATACTCAGAATAGAGAGAATAAAGTCTCTCAGTTAATAGTTAGTAGAAACTCGGATTTGGATACAATTCACACAAAATATTGAAATTTTTTTTCTGCTAGATTTCTTTTGATAGTTGTGTATATTATTCGTTTTATCGATTTTGTTGGAATTTTATAATTAGAACTTAGGGCGATATTTTTTAAAATATTTTCATCTATTTTAGCCCCACTTTCCCCTAAAATAAAAGTCTAGTGCGATATACTGAATTTGATAAAACCACTCATTTTTGTTCCATATTTCATTTCTGCTTATTCTTTGGTACAAAATACATCAAGGATTTCTTTTAACTTTCCATCATACTTTATCCTAAAGCTCACCAAACGTAATACGTCATGTTGTAGGTGAATAAAAATATTTATTACTGTTACTGTTAGATAAATCGACGGAATATGCATGTCTGCCTCGGGAATATTAGACGCGTCAACGAAACTTTCGGTTCGATACGTTGTCATCGATCTTTACAACAATAATATCTCGATTCTGTAGAACATTCCCGTTTGAAAGGGTAGACATGATGCCGATGATATACTATTCATATTGCACACTTCTCGCTATCGAGAAGGGAAAACCGGAGCTTGCCGGAAAAAAGTAAATTGAAATTTAAGTCGTGAGGATTATCATATATTGTCTCTTGGTCGCTAGATGAAATATATGCATGCACTTCTTAAGAGCTTTA